CAAGCGTCTGGCTGCTTGCTGCCCCCCACTTCCCCCAGAGGTACACTTACTAAAAAGGGGACTGCAGGGGGTACACTTATTAAAAGGTTGAAAACCTGTGGTATAGTGCATCACTATGGCAATGTAACAACTAAAAATAACTACATGCACTACACAATAGGGGTTATTAGAGCGCCTTCATTTAGGAAGTACTAAATGACAGCGCTGTAGGGGCACGTGTAGACATGTCCAGTGATTCTCAACCAGGGTGCCTTGAGAATTTTTCAATGCTGCAGCAGTAAGGAATGAATAGTGTTAAAAACACTCTGACCTGTTTTGGTCTTTCTGATTTCTTGGCAATAGAAGAATTGCTGTCTTTTTCTGTAGTAAAAAATCAAGGGAAAACTAAGAGTGTACATTTTCCAAGGGTTACCTTGTATCTGTTTAGGGGTGACTTGGGTTTAAAAATGCTCAGAACCACTGGTGTATATAAAAAGAATTAATATATTTGTCTTTCTTGTAGGATGTTGCAGGTGCTCTCTCGGTAGAAGAAATTACAGAATTGCTGAGTCTGCACAAACTCTGCTGTGGCCGTAGCTGGTATATACAGGGCTGTGATGCCCGAAGTGGCATGGGTCTGTATGAAGGACTGGACTGGCTCTCAAGGCAACTAGTAGCTGCTGGAGTGCTGGATGTGGCTTAATTTCACAACAGATGCAATTAAGTTTTAACATAGCTAACTTATTTGCATGATTTTGGATGTTGTAACAAGGTCTGCATTGTAAAGATGATGGCAACTCTTGTATAGAACTGTGGTTACAGAAAAAAACATGATTCACTTCCAGTCAGAGATTGGGGAATTGGTACAGTGATTTGTGCAATTGCTGTAGTTTTTTAAAAACATGGTAGTGTAATGAACCAATGTGTTGGGCTGGATGCAGGGTTGCCATGGAATTATATTTGAAATCTATGAAAGTAGGTTATTACTTCCCATTTGAAACTTTTTCTGCTAAAACGTGCTAAAATTGGTCTGAGACTTACAATAAAGTCACAATAGTTACTTTAATAATATAATAAACATTTTACTTATCCCAAAAGCCTCTTAGAAACCTTGAGCTGCACAGAATAACAAACAAAACTCTAGCTGCTCGTGAGTAACCAGTGGTGCCACTTCTAATACATTTTTAAAAGGCATTAGCTTAGACTTGTATAAAACTCCATGGTAAGAAACTACAGAAGGAAAGGTTTCCCCATTGTAAGCTATTAAAAGGAGGGGGCTGTAGAACTAGAAGACAGTGAGAACTCGTTTCCTGCCTTGGATCTTGCAGTTTTGGTGGGCGATAGCGTTGTTTGACTACCATTAGTAATAAAAGGTAGAAGAAAGCAAAAGTATGCATATTGAAAAGTCACGTTTTGTTCATAAATAAATAATTTTAGCTCATATTGATATAGATGGGAGTTGTGTGTGCATGCTCAAGATCTTATTTGTTTTTAGAGATTAAACTTCATCCTCAAGCTGAATGAAGATAAAAACTTCCTAAAGAAGCTGTGTATTGAACTGTCATTTCAGCTATGTATTTTACATGTCATGCTTCCAGAAAAAGGCATTAGACTTAAAATATTGAATAACCTGCTGTAAAAGCAGGGCACGCTAATTATAACTCTTACTTGGAACAGCAGATTGTAAAATCTGATGTAAACTTTCTGTATTTAGATTCTAGGCATTCTTTACATACTGCATCTTCTGCGTGTAACTGTCACTAATGCCTCTATTTTCAAGGATTATTCATTCATAAACCAGTAGAACCTTGGAGGCGTATCTTGGTTTAAATTTAGAGGGGGCTGGAATAGCTTACTGATGTCTCATCTTCTGCTGCGCACACAGTTCTGATCACTGTTAATCTGTGTGCTATGCACACCTAGTATAGACTCCTCTGTCCTCTCGTTAACTGTATGACCCTCTGAATCGAAGAGGTCATCTACTAGCATGGAGTAGAAATAGCATGGAGAGGGTTTAGACATGGCCAGTGGATTGAAACTGCATATTCCTAAGCCGGCAGCATCTGTTGGTGTTGGGAGGAAATTCTACTGCAGAAATAGCAGCTTTGCCTTACAAACGAGCCCAGTTTCCTTCCTGTTTGCTTTGGTGGAAGCCCTAAACTTCTCCCTAAACACCCCTCCCCCCCAAATGGTAATCATTTGCGGCTGTGGCCGTGTTATTGCATTCATATATATTTTGTAGTAATATCCCACTACGTACTTCAGTAAAGCAAAGAATGTATAAAATAATTTAGTGCATTTGCACTTTTTCTTTCAAGAGGAAGCAGTTCTGGTAACTACTCCCTCCTAATCACACTTGTTTATAGTCACCTTTCTTCCTTAAATTTCATATTATTGATGTTAAACATAGCTTCAGTTTTAGCAAGAATTTAACTTACAACTAAAGGGATAAGCTTCACTATTCTAAAACCATGGATGCCAAATTAAAGCTTGTAGTATTTTAGAAATGGCTTAAATTTCATACACATTGGAAAGCTGAGAGGGAGGCTAAACTTTTCTCTCAGAACCTGAGAATAAATATTGTGCTTAGTTTACAGTAGCTGAAGGGTTTTTGCTGCTGTAAGCAAACTGAACATTGTTCACACTTTCCAGCCTGCAATTTCTTTGCACAGTAGTTAGTTGGCTGCCCCAGCTGACTATGTGCATGGCCTGCTTTACAGATCCAGCTCATATCTGGTTGACTGACTGCCCTGTCATAATTCAAATGCACCTAGCAGAAGTTGTTTAGAACAGATGCTTGCTGGAAGACTCTTAATGATGAAAACGTATTATTTTTTAAACTTTATTTTACTTATTAGTACATCCTTATTCTTCAGTGGCTTCAGTTGTACATGCTCTCAAACTCTGCTGTTACCGTTCTAGCTTTCTCTTGTTACTGTTTTAAAGCACTCAACAAACCCAGTCTGTTTGGTAAGAGCTTGTAGAGAATTACATATTTGGGGAAGAATGTGTTAGTCTCATTTTGAGTACAAAAGGATTTTGTGATAAGTGTGGGATGCTTGCGTAAAAGTGTTTTTCCATGGAAATTATTTAATGTGACTGATTCAAGTAACTGTGAAAAATAGGTGTTGCATTTGTCTGTGAACTCAAGTGTTTTCTTGTATCATAAATTAATGCTATATGTAAACTATTTCAGTTGTAAATTAATCTTGTTTCAACATTTTGTTGGACTCAATTCAATTTTTAGGATACTCATTTGATTGATTAATGATTGGATCTGAGGGGAAAAATCCTCTGATCTCTTAGAGGATTATCTGGATGAGTCTGAAATCTTTAAATGGTTAAATGTAAGATTTAGTCTTCTAGTGTGAAATTTTTGGCTTCATTTTGAAGCTGAATAACCATAACTTTCAGCAACTGCAGAAAAGTTTTTAAAATTAAACTTGGTTCATAATAGTAAAACAAAGTATTTGAGCAGCAGTACTTCACTACTTTTTGTTGTCTAATTTTCATTGCCTTAATTTTACAAAACAACTCTAATTCCACTTGTGGACTGAATGATAAATGAAGGTTCCTTCTCTAGGAGGAGCTTCACTAGTTCTTATTCTGGGCTACTGGAAACAGGGCTGGATATTACAGAGCAGTTCAGAAAGGGACAGCTTTTGGTTAATGAAAAACGATTATACCGATTTCAGTTTCTAAACTGCCTTAAATTGACCCCTCCCCCCCCCCCCCCCCACAAAAAAAAAAAAAAAAGTATTTTAACCCTCTAATTTAGGGTACTAATTTTCTGTGGTTGATTTCTTCCTGTCTTTAATATACTCAGTTTTTGATCTCTGATGAACAAGGGGCAAGTTTCCATATTGAACCTATAGGTAGAATTTAGTACTTGTTCAGACTTTACTTCCCTTGTACTACTTTTATAATGCTGGAAATGTTGAGTAACTGGTACAAAGAAACAAAAATAGAATGCAGGTTCATTTTAAATGTAAGATGCCACAACTGTTTGGCAAGACCTGAGGAAATTAAATACTTTCCAAGTTTAAAGGCAGTTCTGCTCAATAGAAGATACAAAAAGGCATCTTCACTCATGTCTGACTTCAGTGACAAATGTATTATATCAATCCAGTTTTTTTCATTTAATTTTTCAGTGTATACTGAGACTTGCATCAGCCAGTGATCCCAGAAAGTGGTTTAAGCCATTTCTTTGTGGGCAGTACTATAACTCTGTGGAGAGAGAGAGAGAGGAAATTGGCACAGAAGGGACCTGCTAGTATCAGAATATGGACATAAATGCCACCTACAGATGTCTTGCTTAGTGGAGACTATATATTGCACCTGCTCACTACCACTTTTAAATCCAGTTAATTAAAACATTCTGGGGATCTGAACTTTTTACGTCAGGTAACACTTTAATGTTCTGGTTTACTGGCTACCACCTAAGGAGGACATTGGTACAGTAAGAACATTTTCAGGAAAAAACTTGGGGATGATTGTAAACTTGTGAAAATGGTTCTTGGAATCTTCTAACCGTCTGTCTCTCTAGGAAAGTTAGAAGAAATGAAACCTCTTGGATAGTGAAGAGAGTAGGAGCAAGATCTCTATTTATCCCCCGGACAGTTGGACTCTGGGGAGTTCTAATTCATGCCCTTGCTGCCAGTACATCTCAGCACATCGGTGAGATACTGTGGTCCTCACTTCCTTGGAATAATTTGAAATTGTGCAAATATTAAAGTTTTTAAGTTGCTGTAACTGCTCTATGATGCCAGAGTAGATAAGTGAACCTTCACCTGTTTGTGTGAAGCACCCTATCTTCCCACTCAATTCTCTCATTTTGTAAGAGATTGAGGTCTTAATTTCATAGACATCAGGGCTGGAAGGGACCTCGGAAGATCGAGTCCAGCCCCCTGCCCAAAGGGCAGGAAGTCAGCTGGGATCATAGGATCCAGCAAGATAAGCATCCAGTTTCATCTTGAAGGTGTTCAATGAAGGCGCTTGAACCACCTCCGGTGGCAGGCTGTTCCAGACCTTGGGGGCTCAGACAGTAAAGAAATTCTTCCTTATGTCCAGCCTGAAACGATCTTGAAGTAGTTTGTGACCATTTGACCTCATCATCCCTTGGGGCGCTCTGGTGAACAAACGTTCCCCCAGATGCTGGTGGTCACCCCTGATAAACTTGTAGGTGGCCATCAGATCACCCCTGAGCCTGCGCTTTTTCAGGCTAAAGAGCCCCAGGGCTCTCAGCCCGTCATCGTAGGGTCTGCTTCCCTGACCTCTGATCATGCGCGTGGCTCTTCTCTGGACTCTCTCAAGCTTCTCCACATCCTTTTTGAATTGTGGAGCCCAAAACTGGACACAGTACTCCAGCTGCGGCCTCACTAAGGCTGAGTACAGGGGGAGAATGACGTCCCGGAATTTGCTTGAGAAGCATCTATGGATGCAAGCCAGCGTTTTGGTTGCTTTATAGTTTCATAGTTTTAGGGTCGGAAGGTACCTAATAGATCTCCTAGCCCGCCCCCCCGCCAGGGCGGGAGAACAACAAAAAACCCTAAAAACAAAAACGGGACTCAAATGAGTCCAGCCAGGTAGGCATCCAGCCTCTTCTTAAAGACCCCCAGGGTAGGGGCCAGCACCACCTCCCTTGGAAGTTGGTTCCAGCTCCTAGCCGCCCTAACTGTGAAGTAATTTTTTCGGATGTCCAATCTGTACCTCCTCTCCATCAACTTGTGCCCATTACTCCTTGTTATGCCAGCAGGGGCTAGGGGAAACAGCGTCTCCCCCAAACCCTTCTGGTTCCCCCTAGTGAGTTTATAGACGGTCACCAGGTCCCCCCTCAGCCTTCTCTTGTGGAGGCTGAATAGGTTCAAGTCCCGCAGTCTCTCACTGTAGGGTCTGCCCTGTTGTCCCCGGATCATGCGGGTGGCCCTCCTCTGGACCCTCTCCATGTTGTCCACATCCCTCCTGAAATGGGGCGCACAGAACTGGACACAATACTCCAGCTGCGGCCTGACCAGCGTCGCATAGAGGGGGAGGATCACCTCCCTGGCTCTACTCGAGATGCACCTGTGGATGCACGACAAGGTCCGGTTAGCCCTGCCAACCATGACCTCGCATTGTCGGCCCATGTTCATCTTGGAGTCAATAATGACACCAAGATCCCTTTCCGCCTCCGTGCTCTCAAGTAGGGAGCTCCCCATCGTATAAGTGTGCTGCTGGTTCCTACTACCCAAGTGCAGCACCCTGCACTTGTCCGTATTGAAACACATCCTGTTCCTGTTTGCCCACCCCTGTAACCTATCCAGATCCTTCTGCAATCTCTCTCTCCCTGCTAGCGTGCTCACCTCCCCCCAAATTTTGGTGTCATCAGCGAATTTAAACAGGTTGCTTTCCACCCCAACATCAAGATCGCTGATGAAGAAATTGAACAGCGCAGGCCCCAGGACCGAGCCCTGGGGGACTCCACTACCCACCTCCCCCCAAGTCGAGTATGATCCATCCACCACCACCCTCTGAGTGCGACCCTTCAGCCAATCTGCAATCCATCTGACCGTGTAGGCATCTATGCCACAGTCGCCTAGTTTATTAATTAGGATGGGGTGAGAGACGGTGTCAAAGGCCTTGCTGAAGTCCAGAAAGACTACATCCACCGCGACACCTGCATCCATGGCCTTTGTGACCTGATCATAAAAGGCAATCAGGTTGGTCTGACATGATCTCCCCCTAATAAATCCATGCTGATTGCCCCTGAGCATCATCTCGGATGCCGGCCCATCACAAATGTGCTCCTTGATGATCTTCTCAAAGAGCTTCCCCAGGATTGAGGTAAGACTGACGGGCCTATAATTGCCCGGGTCCTCCCTTTTCCCTTTTTTGAAGATGGGGACCACATTAGCTACCTTCCAATCGTCTGGCACCTGGCCCAAGCACCACGATCGCTCGTAGAGCCGTGCCAGGGGCCCTGCAATAACCCCAGCCAGCTCCCTCAGCACCCTGGGGTGGAGAGCATCCGGACCCGCTGACTTGAACGCGTCCAGCCCCTCCAGAAGCTCTCTAACCCGGTCCTCCCCAACCTGAGGTCTGAAGGCGATCCCCTCGCGTCCGGCTTCTATCACAGCAGGGAAGTCCCGGTCCCTGCACAAGAAAACGGAGGTGAAGAATTGGTTAAAGAGGTCCGCTTTATCCTCTGACGCAACCACCAGATTGCCCCGCATATCCTGCAGGGGCCCCACATTACCCGGCGCCTTCTTCATCCTCCCAATATATTTGAAAAAGGACTTTTTGTTATCCTTAATCCTGGACGCTAATCCGAGCTCTATCTCCGCCTTGGCCTTCCTAACAGCCCGCCTGCAGGCCCGAGCAGAGGAGGTATACTCCTCTTTGGAGATTACACCCCCCTTCCACCGGGCGTACGCCACCCTTTTGGCAAGCAGGCATTCCCGGACACCCTTGGTGAGCCAGGGGGGCTTTTGGACACTCCTGCCCGCCTTGCTTCTTGTCGGGATGGACACCCCTTGGGCCCCGAGTATCGTTTCCTTAAGGAACGACCACTCCTCTTGGACGCTGAGTTCCTCTGCCCTCAATTTGCCCCAAAGTTTGGTGTCATCAGCGAACTTGGCCAGTCCGCTTCTGACTCGTGTCCACATCATTAATGAAGATGTTGAACAGTATGGGTTCAAGGACAGAGCCTTGGGGGACCCCACTGGTCACAGGACACCACGATGAGTGACTTCCATCAATTACTACCCTCTGGGTCCGACCCCGGAGCCAATTTTCCAGCCAGTGGATTGTGGAGGACCCAAGGCGACAGTTGGCCAGTTTCTCCAAGAGGCGATAATTGAGATTGAGAGTAATAAAACACCAAGATTTTCTGTTAATATTACATGCACATTGGCCATTTAACAATTGAATGACTTGCTTTTGCCAGGTATCTTAATTTAATATGCTGTCTGCAGTACATGATGTACTTTTTCTATTTGTTTAAATCAATAGAAATTAAAGTAGTGCTTGAAGATGTCTTAACTCAAGAGTTTTCCCTGGTTTCCCAAACCCTCTGAAATACCTGCTACAGTCAGGTCATCATAAGAGCAGCCTAAAAAGGACCTGACCAACACCAGAAGTGGTCATCAGCCATCTAAAATAAGAGGGATGACTATGACTCTTCAGAAATAGAGTTCTAGCCCCTTGCAGCACTCTGAAAAGGCCCTGGAATGTCTGCATTAAGAAAAAATACTGTTGTTAGGAGAGAGAGAGGCAGGTACCTGGTTTTATATTCCAGGTGAAAAGGAGAGAGAAAAACTTTTTGACATATATCAATACAGTTCACTCTAACCATGAACCCACTGAGCTAAGTGAACCTAAACAAAGATAATTACTGGGTTTAATAGTTATAATCTTGTCTCTTGTTAGCTCACTACATATATGTAACATACTATAATGAAAGGGAGTAGGGTGAGGTCAGGAGGCTGGACTTCATGAATAGATGTTAGAATACCATAAGTGGCTCAGTCTTCCCTGTGTTCAGGATCAAGGAAAACTGGTGGAATGTTATGCATTGGTATTTCTGTAGTTGACCCTTAGTCTACCAGCTTACTGAATGCTTGGGAGGACACACATCCACAGTCTGTGAAGAGGGAGATCACATATAGCTTGTCACAGCAAAATGCATCAAATTTTTGTCTAATTTGGGATGTATGTGCATGTGACAGAACTGGTTGTGCTGAAATGCTTCTATTTATTGGTAGACTTGGAATTGCTCTGAAGACTGCATTTATTTATTAGATTTGTATGCTGTTTATTTAGGCAGAACAGGATTACAGTAGGGGCTAAAATCTACCCACATGGCAGTTGCAAGCCTGCAGCTGAAATGGGAATTTAGCTAGATGATGCAGACACATGTGAACTATGAAGAAAAGGTGCAAGAAATACAAAAATTTAACAAGCGTGCCTTTTATTTTAAAATAATATAAAACTATTAAAAATAAAGTGTCAGGGCACTTTAGTACATGATTGGTGGAAGAGTTGGTTTGCTCAGTCCTGATATTTTTTTGGAGTCAAGATCTCATAAAAATCACTATTTTTGAGTCCCACAGCTTTCTTTTTTTTTTGTAAGCTAGAATTTTTCAAATCTGAGTTTACTTCACTGTGATATTAATGATGCTGACATCTTCATATGGTTTGTCGGTTTTGGGATTGACTTTCACATTTGAAATTCTCTGAACAACTTCCATTCCTTTGGTTACTCGTCCAAACACACTGTGCTTGTTGTCTAGCCAAGGCTGGTGAAGGCATAGGAGGAGAAAAAAAAAGTATTATGTAAGTATTTAAAATGGGAAGAGGTTTAAAGCTAAAATAAGTGCATGTACATGAATATTAAAAAGTACAACTAAACTAAAATTAATTCCTTGCTAGTCTAACAGGTGACCACTGAAAACAAGGAGGCTTATAAGCTGTATTGTTCAACTCATTACATAAAGTTAGTTATCTGTTTGCACATTAAATTTGATTCTAAAAACACCTCTACTGCTTCTGCTACCCAGTTGCAGTGCAGCACAGGAACAACCCCCTCTGCTGGAGCCCTGGGTACCTGACTGGGGCACAGTATGGGCAGAACCCCCTCCACTGAGCACTGTTGGATCTGGCCCATGGGCCACAGGTTACCAACTGCTGCCCCAGATGCATCATTAATGACTTCCAACCCCTCTTGGAAAGTGACCATGTCAAGGCAGCCTTTGGGAGCAGGCCTATCCTGGCTTACAGACAACCCCTAAGTTCAAACTGCATCACTCCAGTGACATACTATCTAACTCCAATTCGCACCATGCCTTGCTACAGACCCAGGTGCCAGCTGTGCCTCCAACACAGACAATGCCATCAATACAGCTAACCACATGAAATAAGCACCTGAACTTCATTCACCTGCTCCTCCACCAATATCCCATAGGCCATCACCTGTT